TACCTTTCACTGTAATGGAAAAAGACTTACCATTAATGAAAATTGAGATTGAATACTTTTTCATAATTATCTACAAAAAAATTATATCATACAAATGTCCTCACTGCTAGGGCACTAGTCTTACCTGTGAACGAAATAGAAAAAACATTTTTAAATAACCCAAAAATTGGCTATAAAACGTCCAAGTAAATAATAGTTATCTAAAATTTTCTAAGATGTACCTAGGGAAAACAAAATGAAAATTCAAAGGCTTTCTTAATTTTATTGGATGAATAATTATAGTGTGTTTACAAAAAGCTATAAGCACTTTCCGATAAGAAAATTACTACCAATATATTGTATTTGTACCATGGATGTACATCTCCAATGTGATGAACAACACAATTTAGTCAATCGGATAAGGAAAAAAATTACAACTTTAATTGCTATTTCTTCTTTCAAATGTTTAATACTTGTAAAAGTATTCATTTGACATTGTGGGTTATCTACTTTGCAAAGAGATGGCGCTGCCTGGCAGCTTATGAAAAGGCTAGAAAGAATTCTACACGGCCGTCAGGGCCGCGGCGGCCATTAGGCCAGTACATTCGCCGGATAGCGAAGGGTGCGGGTTCGAGTCCCGTCTGCTGCCTGTTCGGCGTGACATCTTTCCTAGTTCCTTTTGACGACCTCCGTTGTCGAGTGGTTTATACGCCGAGTTTCAAGGTGTCGCCAACTCGAACCGGTGAGGGCAGATGTTTGTGTGATAAATACGAGCATTTGTACTCCAGTCATGGATGTTTAGTTCGTATTTCTTTATTAAGATACTTATACAGGGTGGTCCAATTAGTGACGTCAACAATTTTTTTTAGATTCCTCGCACCTGGTGGTATCTGAAAATACGCCATGTATGTTCCGCGATTTTTCTTAGTTTTCGAGTTATATTTTTTTGTGTATTTTTAATAATTTCTGCCAGCGAGGTTTCAAAAATTTATATCTTTTTTCGTAGTAGGTATTTTGCAGTCTTTTTTTGTGACATAATTGTCTTGTGTGTTGTTTTAATAAAAAAATTAACACAGCTTCCTGAAATTACTTTAACTTACTCAAAAAAGGCTTGAAAGTTAGAACTTTAGTTTTTAGTAGGATTTATTCAAACATTCAACTTCAATTTTAAAATACAAAAAGGAGTTTCCATAGCTTCTGGCTAAAATTAAAAGCTCCGCATGCTTCTAAACTACCAAAAATCATGAAAAATATTGTATTTAATCAGCCTATTTTTGTTGTAATTGGCCTTCGAAGGCGGATCGGTTAAAAATCATTGAAACACGATTAAAGCATTAAAAAATATTTTATCTACTTTTTATCATTGTTATGGTAAATTAAACTTAAAAATGTAAATTTCAAATTAAATTTAATTGAAATTCCTGTAAAATAACTTTAGCATGTGGAATTTTATAATAATTTCGGTTTCACAACTAAGATTTAAAATGTGAGCAAAATTGAGACTAAAACCACGGTAATATAACATTGGTGTCGATTCTAGCATGATTCTCTTAACCTAAACTTAAATTTGACAACAGTGTATCCTTGTCATTCTCTATACAGAATGAAAAGGAGTGACTGATGTTAAAATTAGTTTTAAGTTTAGAGAATCACGCCAGAATCGACACCACTATCGTGCTAAACCTTACAGAAGCGGAAGAAAAAACTTACTTACTTTGGGGCTAGGCTAATTGGTGTGAGTTTTGGAAATATTTATTACCTATTATTATAACTTCCATAGCACGCGCTCTTCTTTTCGGAGACATGAAACATATTCGCATATCTTGTACGTTGAATCTGCGACAAGTCCTCGGCAGACATTTTTTTCACGCAGAAACGCAGAAGTCCCTCGTCTTCCCTAGCAAACCAGACCCATAACTTCAGAATAGTTTAATAAGGGTAAATATTCTACTTAAAACGTACTTCTTAAGTACGTCAACAATTATAAACAGGGTCAGGTTTAAGAGATAAAAATAACAACCATGATCTGAAAAGGTGCATTTCGCATTCGAACTAATAATTATTTTTACTTAACTTATGACGATGAACAATTGATTTAATTCAAGTGATCAAAACAAATAAATACGTTGCTAAAGGCATTCAAAGAAGGTATTATGTACCAATCCAGCATACCCGTAATCATTATTTATTTAAGAATTCCCAAAAAAAAATCAGTTTGTAATTCTGTCTGTGTAATTTATACATGTACGTAAAAATACAGATTTCTGGGTTGCTCTGCTAAGCTAAAAAAATTGTGTGTGTCAGCTCCGACGCACGACCGGAGTTTACACTCTAAAAACGATTGTCTTTGAACAGACACAAAACAAAATCAAGTCCGAAGAAGTCGGTTACAAGTAGAGATACCTCAGGAATCGTCCCATGGTTTCGACTATCATAGGTTCCATGTCACACATTTTATCATCTAACATCAGCGATATTCATCATATATTTTATTATGTATTTCTGGAAACACACAATTTCAAAAATATCACACACTAGTCATTATTTTGTAAATAAGTATGTATTATAATTCCATCTGTACTGAAAATCACTATTCCAGAGTGCTGGACACTTACCGGCATTTCTCAATATTCTTTTATTTATTTGTTTTCATTAATTTTGCTCCGATTTTATCTATTTTTAGTTTATTTGTTTTATTGACATTTGTGACAACTTAATGTTTTTTATCCGTTGCCATGGCTAAAAGTGAAAGGTGCGCAGATGAGGTTGCGCACAAAAACGTAACGAGGTCATTAATGTCATTCATCGATAGATTTTACTCCTCACTTTTTTGTCATACCGGGCCCCTTATATATGCAAATCGATTCTTAAGGAGTAAACTCCAATAAACTCTTAAAACTATAACGCATCGTTCTAATTTGCAACGATCTAACAATGACACGATGCGTTCTCGTCATGCGATGAGTTCAAACATACAGATTTCTTTAGAATTAAATCTCGTAATCCGTCTCACAGACACTGTTACTAACAATTGTACAGTACAATAACTTTAATCGTTTAAACGCGATTGCAATCGCAATATTGTCACGCCTTATTTTCATCGCACTACCAGATCGATGGCGCAAGTGATTAGCGCGTTCCGCTGCAATCGTTGAATTTAAGCAACTTTCGCAGTGGTCGGTCATTGGATAGGTGACCGAAAATTTACTATCTCGAGCTCCTCTGTGCTTCGGAAGGCACGTTAAGCCGTTGGTCCCGGCTGCATCTGCAGTCGTTAGCACCCACCAACCGGCACTGGGCCCGCGTGGTGGGTCATGGCCTCATTGCCCAATCTCCCTATTCCATCCATAGGGAAGGTCTGTGCCCCAGCAGTAAGGACATTAATAGGCTGATGATGACTACCAGATCGCAACGTGTCATCGTACGATCGTGGCCAAAGAGCACGACGCCTAAACGTTCCTTGCTATCTAAGAAATCCTAAAAAAGGAAACAAACAAGATATTATAGTTTAGTGTATTAGTGTCACTGATTAGAAATGTATACCGATTTAAGTATAATTACCTACCTATGTTCTTTGTTTTCTTTTGTTTCGCTTTATTCCGGCATTCGCAACCTTTGCCATAAGGCTCTGGCTGAAAATCAGCACTGCTGTGGTATCGCGAAAGCGTTTACCACAGAGCATAGCTGAGTCAGCGTCCTATTGGCCTTACACGGCACGCACCTAGTAATTAGTTCCCATGTTTTTTTTTATTATGTCTATATTTTATTATTATGTATAACCAGTTTGTTTTTATGATATATTCATGCTGTGAATGCCAATATAATGTCTTTTCGTACCACTTGCTAAAAAAAGTGACATTCTATGCCACAAAAAGCGAACATAACAATAGTCATTTTTAATCTGTTAAAAACAGGGAAAGAAAATTGTACTGAATTTCATTCATCCTCTAGGGAGAGAATGTGATTTAAATTTGGAATACTTACCGAAATTTATACTGAACTACATCTGTGTTTACACCATTGAGTTTGTATATAAAGCATTATACATCTTTTTGAAAAAGGAATACGCATTTATTGTGCAGTTATGATTATTAAATAAAATTACGAAAACCGACGAGGCCGTATTTAATTGGACCAATGTTTCGAATGTTAACTTTTACTTTTAATTGTCATTATTTTTAATAAATGCTTATCTCATAATATTATTGTGTTGAAAAATAGAGTATTTTCCTCGGTGATAAAGCTGTCTTAGTCTTGGGTGAACTTAAATCCCTCGCTACACTCAGGACTCGTCTTAAATCGCTCGCTTCGCTCGTGATTTAAGTTTTTAACACCCTCTCTACGCTCGGGAGTAAACCTCGAGTCCTTCGTTACGCTCGCTTTTTAAATCGTCACCCGCGACAGAAGACACTGCTTTATCCCTTTGGTTAATAATCTACTATTCTTTCTATATGTCGGATGGGGTGAGCTGGATAGGCGGTTGGCCACGTGGTTCGTCTATGATCCGCCATCTTGGTTATTCAATGATATTTCCCGAAAATAAAACTGTAGTCTAGTGACCAAACTAACGTTTAATTTAAATCTTCTAATCACTTTACAAAATCAGTTATGATTGCCAAGGTACAAAGGGATTGCTTTGTGAAGCTTGGAGAGTTCTCTGCTAACGTCCGTTCACTATCGCGGCTTACGTCTGAATGCTGAATGCCGAATGCCCCTTCCAATGAAGCGTTACCCCCTTAAATACTACCCTTAGCATAGACCACTCCCAAGTGATGACAGCTGTCACTGTCATAACTTGACGTTTCACAAAGCAATGGTACAATGACTGATGACATTTGTTGTAGGTTTTACGTTTCGCAGGAGCGAGCGAGACGCCATCCGCCGACATATATATAGAAATTCACCTAAAAGAGTCAAGTGATCATCGCTGCGTTCTGTGTTCGTTTATACCGTTATTGACGCAACCGGCTCAATGATGGTATCACAGTTCAGTACAAGTTCTGACACGAGGCTGATTAAACATGCTTATTCGCCTTCTATTGTTTTCCACGTGCGCGTCACAAGTTCTCGGATGGTCTTGTTACTGGAACAATAAGTGCGGTTACTCTAACTTCGGCAGTAAAACCGTGTACGATGACGTCAGAGGAGATATTCGAGATACGGAGAGAATAGAAGGTCAGTTTGTTAGAGTTTTATTTGTATAAACGATATGATCCAATCATAAATAAATAAATTTATTTATATCATGATTTTTGAAGTGAAACTTCTGTACGAACGCTTGACTTGAGGGGAAAGCTGGTGAATGCGTTACGCGTTACGAAAAGTGTGTTCGGACGAGGCGAACGGGAGTTGAGTGGGGGATACAAGCAAGAGAGAGCAGTGCGCGCGCACATTTTCTTTCTCTCTTTCTCTTATAGCTAGTAAATGAAATATGTATATGTACATACATGTATATATTGTACACACACATTTAAATATACATACAGATGGAACTAATGAAGTTTCACTTCAGTCGTGTGGTCATAAACACACTCGTTTTTTTTGTAATTGAGAGAGAGTGATTGAGAATATAATTTTAGCTTTGTTATAAATTCTGTTCGACGATAATATTAAATCTCCACGATTAAAAAGTAACCGAATATAAATAAACATAATGGTGCAAACGTAAACCAACAACAGAATTGTTATTGAATGCTTGACTGGAATTGTAAATTATTTTGTACAAACTTCTGCCCCTTCAAAGTTATATTTTTGGGATTTTTCGCCCAGTAAAATTATAAAAATCAGACAATCTCAAAATCGAAACTAATTAAAATGCGAAATTTTGGTATATGAAGTCCAATATGTGACCTTTGTTTTTAAGTGAATATATGGTTGGAATGTTTTTAAAAAACGCTATCTTTTATGTTGTGACTTGTTCATGTGTTCGTAGTTTTTGAAGTGAAAACTTCTTTAACGGCATTGGGGGCCATCCATAAATTACGTCACACTTTAAGGGGCAGGGAGGGGGTCGACGAAATGTGACATCGTGTGACAAGGGGTGGGAGGGGTCCTAAATTTCGTGACGTCACATTTCAAAATATATTAAAATCTAAGTGTTGAAACTATTACTTTACGAAAGCATTAACAACCCAAACGAGAACAAAGTGGTGCTATGCCAGTTATAAATAATTTAAAGGAGTGGGATCAATGTCCATGGACTCAAGATTATTAAGTTTGTATCTTTAATTTAATTATAATGCTATTAATATTTTATGTTTTGTTAATTTCTTTAATTAACAGAGTCAATCACTTTTTGTTCGGTAATTTCTTTAATAAATATAATTAATCGTTTTTTTTTTGTTTTGTTAATTGTTTGATTTGATAATAATAATAATGAAAAAACAATTTAAATGGAAATAAAATTGATTACAGAACCGCTGTTTTCATTCAATGATTTCTAAATGTAAATTCGCAAAATATGTGACGTCACACTAGGGAGGGGGGGAGTCTTAGAAATGTGACCAGCTGTTACAAGGACGGGGGGAGGGGCAAAAAAGACATGAAATTCGTGTGACGTAATTTATGGATGACCCCTTGTACACTTTTTTTATGGGTAAAAAATGTTAAACTCGCGTCAGGTTAAACACGTGGGCTGATCGCATCAAACAAAATAAAATTGGAAAGGTTGTTGACTTTCAATATATTGGACAGTAATATTTTATTTTACCGTATTGTAATAATAAGTCTTTATCTAGGACGTCCACGTGGCAGCTTTATTGCGAAGAAAATACATTTTTTTACAATAGATGTCGCTAAGTGGGCTTAAACGTTATTCATGTAAGTTGATTTTTCTGAGAGATAAACTTTTTAATGTAATATTAATTGTCATATTTGCGTACGATAATAAATAAACATTGTATTCTACCACATACATGATAGTACTTTTATACTGATAATTAAAGCAATTCGTGCAAAATTATTCCCTTACCATTCCAAAATATCAAAAATGCACAACGTTAATATTCAAGTTTTCACTTCTGCCGGCACTCCCGGAGTGCAACCCGTCGTTTTTTTTAAATTTCTTGTTCATAATTAGTGTGTATATAACTCCAAGCAGGCCAGTCAGAATTGCGCTGCGCTGGTGTGACACAATGTCGCATCAGCTAATGCTGAGGCAGGGTCTTGGTTAGCCCTTGCTGTATAAGTACCTGGTCGAGCGCCATAAGGATGGTTTTAGTTTAATTGGTAAAATTATGTTTCTATCTTATTATGTGTGGCGATATACCAGGAAAACTTCTCGCACCCACTTATCTGTGGGATTGATGTCGCCGTGGCCGAGGGCACTGGCTGGTTACCGGAACAAACATTGTTTATGGTGCCTTTCGTGTAAAAAAGTGATCATACTCTCTTCCTTCAAAAAAAATCTGTCAAGATGTGTGTCAATACTTTTCTTTAATTATTATTAAAATAATCAGGACAATCGTAAAAACTATAATTGTGACGTGCGTTTTCTGGAATGCCGGCAAAGCAGGGTCCATCCGCCTCACATTACTCCCGTCGGAGACCACGCAACCCTTCGTCTTGGAGGTAAGTGGGCGCTTCTTTTTTCCTGGTATTGAACCACATAATTTATAATTTCAGTGTAATCCACCCCAGGTGTGGGCTATTTACACGCGCCACACCAGGGGGCCAATCGCCTAACTGGATTGCTTTGGAAAACGCTATCGCTTACGATTTCATTTTGTTATTTCTAGCCGCCTGAGGTTTTCAAATGCCTCGCGCTCTTTTTTTTTCTTTTGCATTGGTAATAACAATGTTAAAGAAAATGAGCGTGAGGTATTTGAAAACCTTCGGCGGTTAGAAATAACAAAATGAAATGGTAAGCGATAGCGTTTTCCAAAGCAATCTGGTTAGGCGATTGGCCCACAGTACCTGTTTATAATGTTGTGTTTTTTCAACTGTTAATAAAAAATTTTTTTTTCTTTCTTTCTATATCTTGTGTTGAACTAACAAACACTGAAAAAACCGATTCATAATGTAGTTTGTAAGTTATGACGAAAACAAACAAAATAATTTAACGGAACCCTAATAAAGCGAGGCCAGACTCGCGATGGCCAGTTTTTTATATATTTTTGTGTATTTTGTCGGTTGTTCTCAAACTCGTTCAGAAATGTTTACACGATTGGGTATCCAGTATTTAACCAATTATTAATATTTGATATTCATATTGAAAGGTCACCACCTCATGCCTTAAAATAAAACAAGGCAATTAATATGAATATTCTAACTACTTCATTATAATCTGTGGCTGTCATCGTCAGGTTTCTTTTAATGCAATTAAGCATAATAGTAGAGCCCAAGCTAGAAGAAGCTAGATAACATAAAAGTCCATTCAACAAGTTGAAAAACGTGAAAAATAGAGATAAAGCTCCTAAAAATGGGAGCGTACTGGAGGGAACGAAAAAACTTCTATAGAAGCTTTATCTCTGTACTTGTCTATATCTCTTATCTATTAGACAAGTCCGTCCGTCTGTCTGTGGTGCTGTTTCAGCGGCCAAACCGTAAGAGATAGATAAAGAGAATGTTTAAGTTATAAGTTAAGAATAGTCTGATGAGACTACAAACCGGATTTGAGTAACGTAGCACTTCCGGTTTTCGAGAAATCACGAATTTCAAACGAAACCACACAAAATCTCCGAAGTTCTCAATTAATTAAATACATTTTTTTTTTTACATCAGGTTTTGGTGAACATTTGGTTCACTGGTTTGCTAGTTTACTACTCATGTGATAGCAGGCTCAGGTAGGGTGTGAGTAGTTCACAAGGTGCAAAGTTACCCCCCTTACGTTATTCTGCGCGCTTGAGTAAATCCAAAAATCTCCGCTTGGTGTTATGTTACAGTAGGGCAGCCCAACTTTAAGATATTGTAGTCGGCCTTATAGTAATATCTACCATCCCATTATTGTTATACAATGAACAACTCTACCTGTTTGTCACTTTTTGTGTCTTGTGAGGTTGTCCGAAATTACTTTATTAAAATTTTCGATAACCTTAAACTTAAATTAACCAATAAGCTTATTTTATACTTAACTTATTCCAACGCGTACAAAGAAATTTGGTGACTCATTTCTTTGTCGCACTATCCGTAAATGGAATGCTCTGCCTGCTCACGTGATCCCTCCTTATTACAATCTGGGATCCTTTGCAGGCCAGCTAGGTAAGTATGGCTGATGTGGCAGGTAGAACTGCTGTATCAGCTATCTTCACGTCTGGACTTCACCGTCACTTAACGTCAGGTAGGGTGGAGTCTTTTGTCGGGCCTATCTATAAAAAAAAATGTTAAACTGTAGAGCCGCTCGTGTTATTTTCATCAGAAATTGTAGCGATAATTTTATAACTAACTCAAAATTGACATACATTTGAGAGCAAGAGGTCAGTTGAATGTGGTTGTTTAAATCGAATAAAAATAATCATTGTTTACATTTTAATATCAGTGACACACCAGATGATGCCTATCTTTAGTCCACGACTATAATAAATTTGTAAACTTGATTCAGAAAACATGATTAAAAAACCGTCAATTGCCAATCGGAATCACAAACGATAACATTTACAAGATTCGCATTTTACAAGATTAAACACTGAGTCGCGCTTAATAATAGAAATATTGCATCATACACCTGCTTGTATGCATTTAACATTTTTTTTTTTCATTCAAACAACGTTTTGAATTTTTTTTTCGCACTCATTTAAATGCATACACACTTGCTTCAAACTTTTTGGATAAACAAAATTTGAGTAAATAACTACTTAATATAAAGCAAAGTCGCTTCCCGCTGCTTGTCCCTATGTCCCTGTATGCTTAGATCTTTAAAACTACGCAACGGATTTTGATGCGGTTTTTTTTATGGATAGAGTGATTCAAGAGGAAGGTTTATATGTATAACACATGCATAACTTAGGAGAGAAACACAGATCATTTTAGAGGTTTTTAATGTAAAGTCGTAAATAAACACACTCATTTTACGCTTACATTGCAAACGCTGGCTCAACCCTACGAAATAGATCAAAATAATGTACTACAGTATTGTACACCTTAAAAAGGTCTACAAAAAAGTCCGCGATGGTATATGTCTATCTCTTAGAGATAACCCACAATAACCATTTTTATCCTATACTTTTTACGAGAAATACTAGATTATTTACGAAGCGATACGAGCAATATTACATTCATCCTTATCCAATTAAGTACCTTAAAATACATTGTGCATTTAATATTGACCTATTTGGTCCTTTAACGCATGTAATTTAAATGAATATTTTGGAAGATATTACAGATTTAAAATGCAGGGACATAGCGGTCCCGACGCTACCGGGCGGGGGGCTTGGCGGTGCGTGCCTATTGTAATTAGATATTAGAAGAATGTCATTGTGTATAATACAAGCCTGAGAACAAAAACTTTAGTCTACAACTATACACTACAGCTCTACACCGAAGCGAGGCGAGGGCGGGCCACTAGTAATGCTATATACTTGTAAAGATACTAGTTGGCTATGCAGTGTAAACTAAATAAAGATTTAAACGGTCGCAACAAGTATTCTACAAATTGTGTGTAAAACTAGTGTATAAATTGTTTATTATATTGTTTTAAACTTTCATGGTCACTAACATTATAGTATATTTACGGGATTGCAAGCGCCATGATCACGGAAACATGGCGCTTACAACAGTGCCGAAATATCGGAAACTCGCTAAAACCAAGGTACATGGTAACAATCCCGTAAATACCTTAAATTACTATATATGACTTGTTTCTTGGTGTACACAAGGGGTGAGGACAACCTTTAAATATTATAGTAATACAAACTAGTTTTAACGGGCTAATGCACGAAACTTTATTTATTTATTGACGTTCTGACGAAGCAGCCTGAAAAGGCTGCGAAACGTCAATAACTAAATAAAGTTTCGTGCATTAACCCGTTAAAAATAGTTTTATTTAATGAGTGATGTGCGTGAAAACCTAAGAAACAAATATAGTAATACATGTTATTCACGGGATTGTTACCATGTACCTTGTTTTTAGCGAGATGCCGGTAATTCGGCACTATTGCAAGCGCCATGATCACGCAGTAACTGTTATTCCGTGATCATGGCGCTTGCAACAGTGTCGAAATATCGGAAACTCGCTAAAAACAAGGTACATGGTAACAATCCCGTGAATAACATGTATTACTATAATGTTAGTGACCATGAAAGTTTAGAACAACCATAAATACTTATTGCTTGCAATGCAGTCGGGATAAACAGCTAAACGTGCATCCCGAAGAATGGAGTAGTGTGAAAGAAGGGGAGTCCCTCTGGGGAAGTAACATCCACCTTACAGAAGATCACAGTAAAATAACAGTACGTCTTGGTACTGATGTGTTGCGTTTTTGTCGCTGAGTAAGGTTCCAGGATTCCACGGGGTCTACCCCTTTTAATCCCCTAGGATTGGGTCAGGGTAGGCAAGGACACAAGTGTTTTTTTTAAGTGAAAACTGCTTTAGCGGCCTTGTACACTTTTTTTGTATGGGTAAATACACACATCAAAAGTGTCTAGGGATCAACATATATTTTTGCAATAACTTTTCTCCTGATTGATATTAATTAAAATTTTCTTTAAGGATTCATCAAATAAAGTGTTTTCGTTTGTCACAGTAACGATAAACCAAGTCACCTTTGCATTAATAAAGAAATTTGCCATTTTCCTAATAAAGGGATTTTTGACATTTGAACCACTAACACAAAAGTTCGAAAAAAAGACTGAAATAACAGTTTTCTCTAAAATTTTATTGGGTAACTTAAACAATTAATAATCCGTATTTCTACCGCGAACACTAACAACACAAGAACATCGGTTTGGCATACTCAAAATGAGTTCATCCAAATCACGCTGTGGAATGGCCGCCCATGTTTGTTGCAACAACAAAAAAAGGTCTTCTTGCGACTGGATACCCTCCATATTCGGCAGAGCTCTTCTCTGTAGCATATCCCATGCATGCTCAATCGGGTTCAAGTCTGGCGACTGAGCAGGCCAGGGCAGGATATTGATGTTAGCTGCGGCGAGAGTCTGTCTTACAACTCTTGCGGTGTGCGGTCGTGCATTATCATGCATTAACTGAAATAAGGGACCGATTTGCACTTGTAGAGGAACGATGACGTCTGATACAATCGTCTCAGCATAAATTTGAGCGTTGAGGTTGCCTCTGATCCAAATCAACTCAGTTCTTCCGCCGATCCAAATACCCGCCCATACCATGATGGTTCCACCACTATAAGGATGGACTTCCTGGCAGGATTTTAATCGCTGTTGGCGTCCAGGGGTTCTCCAGTGTCGTATACGTCTTGTATCCGGTCTCATACCAAAACGAGACTCATCAGAAAAGCACACGAAACGCCATTGTTCTTCTGCCCAATTTCTGTGTTCAAGAGCCCATTGATATCGAATCCTACGATTGTGCATTGCTATAGGTGGTACCCGTAGCGGTCTTCGGGAATGAAGGTTCACTTCATGCAAGCGGTTTCTGACTGTTTGGTCGCTAATTAAGTTCCCTGAAGAGTGATGAAGCCTCACGGCTAACATCATGGCGGTTATTGTTGGAGCTCTTCGAGTTAAGATTTGAATGTATCGGTCTTGTCTCCGTGTGGTGCAGCGATACCGTCCTCCATGGCGCTCAGCCACGGTACCAGTGCTTCGGTATCGTGTCCAAAGTCGACTGATAACACTCTGACTTGTATTCAGAGCTAAAGCCACAGTACGTTGCCGGGAACCAGCTTCTATCATTCCCACGGCTCTGAGCATTTCTTCCCTGCTTAAATGACGTCGCCGCTCCATAATTACGTTGGTTTTAATCAGTAGTAGGGAAACAGTAGCACTAATAATGTCTTCAATGCGTTGTATGTTTTTATAGGGAAAATATTGACAGCTGATTTTCATCTTTTACTCGAATTTGATTCACAGTTCCTGATTCAAATTATGAAATGCACCAAAAAGGATCCATATAAATTTATAAAATCATAAATTTATTACAAAGCCACATCTCAATCTCAAGAAATCCGCATAAAAATGCTTGATCCCTAGACACTTTTGATGTGTGTATGATAAACTCGCGTCAGGTTAAACACGTGGGCTGATCGCCTCATGACACACAATAAAATTGGAAAGGTTGTTGACTTTCAATATATTGGACGAAACATAATAATATTTTATTTTACCATATTGTACCTAATAATAAGTCTCTATCTAGGACGTCTACGTGGCAGTTTATTGCAAATAAAATGCATTTTTTTACAATAGATGTCGCTAGGTGCGCTTAAACGTGATTCATGTAAGTTGATTTTTCTGAGAGATAAACTTTTTTAATGTAATATAAATTATTATGTTTGTGTACGACAGCGCAATAAATAAATATTGTATTCTACCACATACATGATAGTACTTTTATACTGATAATTAAAGCAATTCATGCAAAATTATTCCCTAACCATTCCAAAATATCAAAAATGCACAACGTTAATATTCAAGTTTTCACTTCTGCCGGCACTCCCGGAGTGCAACCCGTCGTTTTTTTTTTGTATCGCAAGCGTCTGTGCCTACAGAATTTGACCCGCCTGATGGTATACGGCCACTATAGCCTTATAGTGGCCGTATACCATCAGGCGGGTCAAATGCTTGTTGGCCTTCTATTTAACATGAAAAATACGGCGTCGTCAATTAAAAGTTTGACATCGAACTTGTAAACATGTTATTTGTGATATCAGCTTTCATCACATCCAGAAAGTAATACCTAAATATCTTTTCACAAATTTCAAAATATTAAACGACCTATTTCAGGATGTAAGCCCATTGGCGTTTGGGCCTTGGTGAGGCACGGTACCCGAAACCCAAGGCCTTCTAGCCTGGACGCTATGCAGGATGCTGCAAAGCTAAAGGACGCTATAGTGACACAAAATCTCCACGAAGATCTCGGCGAGCTGTGTGCACAGGTAAACGAATTGCTCCTCTTACTCAACTCAATGAATTGTCTTAATAAATTTCAAAGAAATAATATATTGACGACTCGAGAGGTCCCGGGTTCGAATCCCGGGGAGGGCAGATGTTTATGTGATGAATACGAGAATTTGTACTCCAGTCCATGTTTAATATGTATTTCTATATAAATATACTTATATATGTACATTATAATATGTATTCTATCCGTTACCCTAGAATCCCATAAAACAAGCTTACTTTGGGGCTAGGCTAATTGGTGTGAGTGTTGGTAATATTAATTATTATTTATTTTATTTATATAAAACCGGACCAAACAAATAAAAATCCTCGCCATATTGTGTACAATTTTTCGCTGAATATAATTAATTATCTGGTAACTAAAGCAGCACATTATCAACAACTGTAATCTGCAAGATGGTAGTGTTAAGCTCAGGATCAACTGGCATTCGATATGGCGTAGAAAACCGTCGATTCTGTCATGATTCTTTAAACCTAAACTTTATTTGACAACAGTGTATTCTTGTCATTCTCAGTGCCGTCTTTGACCTATTGGAGGCCCTGGGCATATTAGGATAATGGGGCCCCTATGACTTCCGTTTGGTGATTAAACAGGAACTAGGGACTTTGCATTTGATCTGAGGGGGCCCCCTATCGATCGCTAGGCCCGGGGCACTTGCCCAAAGTGCCCAATGGGAAAGACGGGTCTGGTAATTCTCTATACAGAACGAAAAGGAGAGACTGTTATGTTTTTATTTATATTTTAAGCATTTAACTGCTAGATGTTTAAATCTAAAGAAAAGTTTTACTAGAAAAAATTCACGCGGACCAGGCAGCGGACGGAACTCGAACCCGCACCCTTCTCAAGCCGGGCTGATGCACAGACCAATTATGCTACCACGACTACAATCGGACCTGGTCCGCGTGAATTTTTTCTAGTAAAACTTTTCTCTAGGAGAGACTGTTGTTAAATGAAGTTTTAAGTCTAGAGAATCATGTCAGATTTGAAACCATTGCCCGCTTAACTACAAACATTTGGGCATAATACTAACCCCCTGCTACCACTAACACCAATGTACTCTAGCGGTAACAGAGGAGCATCTAAAGGGACGCTAACTATAAGAGATGGAAATGAGACAACGTATTTTAGATCCAGAGCATACGGAAGCTGTCTACACGATAGCGTTTAGGAAGCTACTGGCATTCGGGAGTGACCCCGGTTCGTACATACGAACAGGAAGATAAGGTCTTATAATCTGGGGAAATGGCACGGACATTAAAAGAGTGTTTGTATGCCAAAAAAGGTGTATACGGGCAATTTGTAGGGGGGGTTTGTAAATTTGAACATTTTTATCAAACCTTTCAATAATAATATGTTAAGCTCAATCGAAGCAGTGAAAATTCTTCAATAATTTATTTCTCTTGTGTTATTATAACAACATTACTTACTTATGAAGCATGAAAATTGACATATGTTAATTAACACTCGTATGTTTTATATTCACGTTATCTCCTACAAACAGAAATGGGACCAATTATAATTTCGTTAAAGCGCTCAAACTTTTTAGGGTTCCGTACCTCAAAAGGAAAAAATGGAACCCTTATAGGATCACTTTGTTGTCCGTCCGTCCAGCCGTCCGTCTGTCAAGACCGTTTTACTCAGGAACGCGTGGAGGTATAAAACTGAAATTCATATATAATACCAGAGTATTAGATATGAATTTCAGTTTTATACCTCCAGAGACCAGAGTCTACTGCCCTTTGGAGCTGTGAAAAAATCAAACTTCTAAGCCAAAGCAGTCAAAAGATACAGCCGTATATGCCGCAAGTTTCCGCAAATTTTCGAAACTCGCACGAAAATCAAAACCTACACGGTACTTCCCGTACACTTAGAATCTTGAAATTTGGTACGAAGTAACGTCTCATAGTACTGTTTTGAAAAAAATGTGAAAACCGTAAATTTTTAGTAAAATCATATAATAAAAAATATTTTTGAAAATTCAGGTTTGCACGGAACCCTCGGTGCACGAGTATGACTCGCCGTACATCGCCCCGGATGTTTCTTGTAGAACATATTTTAAGGGCCTAAATATTTTAAATTCGACTTCTTTGTACATTCTCGAAGTATATCTACCCGTTTATTGAATAAAATATTAGTATGCAGCTAACAGCATTTAAAATATATTAATGAAAATAATAGATAGATAAACTATTTATATGTAAGTATATTTTTTCTATAGTTATGTAATTATAAACATATTTTTATGAAAACAATATGTTTGTTTCTTAGGGTTTCACGCACATCACTCATTAAATAAAACTAGTTTTTACGGGTTTATACATGAGACTTTATTTATTTATTGACGTTTCGTAGCCTTTACAGGCTACGTCGTCGGAATAAAATTTTTATATAAATAAATAAATAAAAATTTGATTCCGATGACGTAGCCTGTAAAGGCTACGAAACGTCAATAAATAAAAAAATGATGTGGTGTCGTGGGACACCAGGTAGGAACGAAGTTCCTTCAGCTGATGTAGAATCGACACAAATTGCAAACTCGCTTGTGTATGCGACTGTCGCGCCTGCGCACGTCTCATTTAACGGTTTTATTCCACGCACTTTTTTCCACGGATTTTTTCTTACGGTTTTACTATCACATTTTTTTCAGTTCGGTCGCGCAGCAAAATCCCTATCCCCTCCAAGCCTGCCGTAAGAAACTTCGTTCCAATAAACTACAATGTCACAATAATCCTGTAATGCAGTCCCGTCGCTCTGCCACCCCCCTGGACTTAACCACAGTTTAGTATAATATACGACAATAATCCAGTGTTGGTATAATGCCACAAGAATTTGGGGTTGCACCCCCGTCGCTCTGTCACCCCCCGTTAAGTACTGACCTTGTTATCATGTCTAGCTTAAGTTTACAGCAGATGACAGGCGTTCCTGGTCCACAGCTCGGTATAACGTCACAAATATCCAGATTTCGTGTAATGTCACAATATTCCAGTGCTGCACCCTCGTAGCTGTGCCACCCCCTACATACGCACCTTATTATCATGTCCCGCTAGCGTTCGTAAAGGATGCTAGGCAGGACTGGCCCACAGTTTAGAATAAACTACAATGACACAATAATCCAGTGATGCACCCCCGTCGCTCTGCCACCTCCTGATAAGTACTCACCTTGTAATCATAATCATGTCTCACAGGCGTTACTGGTCCACGGCTTGATATACCTTCACAAATATCCAGTGTTGGTGTAATATCACAATATTTCAGTGATGCATCCTCGTCGCTCTACCACCGCCTATAACTTCACACATATTCAGTGTTGGTGTAAAATAACAATATTTCAGTGATGCACCCTCGTCGCTCTACCACCCCCTATAACTTCACACATATTCAGTGTTGGTGTAATATCACAATATTTCAGTGATGCACCCTCATCGCTCTACCACCCCCTATAACTTCACACATATTCAGTGTTGGTGTAATATAACAATATTTCAGTGATGCACCCTCGTCGCTGTACCACCCCCTATAACTTCACACATATTCAGTGTTGGTGTAATATCACAATATTTCAGTGATGCACCCTTGTCGCTCTACCACCCCCTATAACTTCACACATATTCACTGTTTGTGTAGTATCACAATATTTCAGTGATGCACCCTCGTCGCTCTACCACTCCCTATAACTTCACACATATTCAGTGTTGGTGTAATATCACAATACTTCAGTGATGCACCCTCGTCGCTCTACCACCCCCTATAACTTCACACATATTCAGTGTTGGTGTAATATCACAATATTTCAGTGATGCACCCTTGTCGCTCTACCACCCCCTATAACTTCACACATATTCACTGTTTGTGTAGTATCACAATATTTCAGTAATGCACCCTCGTCGCTCTACCACTCCCTATAACTTCACACATATTCAGTGTTGGTGTAATATCACAATATTTCAGTGATGCACCCTCGTCGCTCTACCATTATAACTTCACACATATTCAGTGTTGGTGTAATATCACAATATTTCAGTGATGCACCCTTGTCGCTCTACCACCCCCTATAACTTCACACATATTCACTGTTGGTGTAGTATCACAATATTTCAGTGCACCTTCGTCGCTCTCTCTCCTGCCGTAAGGAACTTCGTCGCGCCTGCGCACGTCTCATTTAACGGTTTTATTCCACGCATTTTTTCTTACGGTTTTACTATCACATTTTTTTCAGTTCGGTCGCGCAGCAAAATCCCTATTCCCTCCAAGCCTGCCGTAAGGAACTTTCGTTCCAATAAAGTTTCGTGCATTAACCCGTAAAAAACTAGTTTTATTTAAACAATTTGTTGTGTATGCGTCGCCTTTTTTTGGTCGGGGCGAATGCGTTTACGCGTCGTTCACGCCCACTGGGCTGGCGACCGGAGGTGTGGACTCGCCCGGCTAAAGAGATAGCCGGGAATACTCCACTGAACTTCCCAGGAACTTCATATCGCCATAATTGAGCGGGCCACAGGCATGCGCGGTTCGCAGGCTCGCTAAGGCCTACTCGGCGATGTATGCGTTGCCTACACTAAGTAACGTATACTGTTTTTTTGCGCATGAGAATTCTGATCTGACGTTACCAATGCCAAATATGACGTTGTTGATTCACATCAACGACAGTGCTATTTGTTAGTGAAATGTTAAAAACAGTGATCAACCTCAAATGTACGTATTCGAAGAAACTAATTGACCTATGTTCTTTGGAGTTGAAGTCACTGCCGGATTTAGGGGAGGGCAACCGGGGCGAAAGCCCCGGGGACCACAATCGGGGAGCCTCCACAATAGAGACTTCGGAAAAAAAAATCATTCAAATTCCAACTAGTAAACACTAGTAAACGTCTTTTCCTTTGATATTTTTTTTGCTCTTTTACCTTTACCTACAGCCTACAGTACTTTGTACATCTAACATACATGATTATTTGATTATATTAATCTTAAATAACAGAAATCATTGATCTATATTTGTTCACTCCAATCAGGCAATCAGTGAAATATCAAAATCTCAAATGGCCCTGAAAAGCACTTCCAATTCACTACCCATCTTGAGGGAGTACCCCAATCGCTTAATAGCTGAGTGGGGTGGTACTTGCCCGCAGGGCCGAATTTAAGGCGGGGCAGGTGGGGCTGTGGCCCAGGGGCCTCCTCAACAGCTTAAGCAATAACAACATTTCGATGGGTTAACAAGAATACACATCCTAAGTGGCCCGGGGCCTCCACAATCCTAAATCCGGCCCTGGTTGAAGTTAAGCAACTTTCTCAGTGGTCGGTCCATTGGATGGGTATATAAAAAGTTACTATCTCGAGCTCCTCCGTTTCGGAACAGCACGTTAAGCAGTTGGTCCCAGCTGCATCTGCAGTCGTTAGCACCCACCAATCCGCACTGGGTCCGTATGGTGAATCATGGCATTACACAATCTCCCTAACACCAGTACCCAAAGCTTGGATCATCTCATCGAAAACTGCCCACATTTCGCCGCTGCCCGCGTCGAATATAAAAAACAACCTCAATTCATTTAATAAATAAAACAACTCAACACATTAACAAATCCCATAGCATTTACAGTATTATCGAGGTGCAAACCGCTAGCACCGAGATAATACTGAAGAAAAGGAAACAATTCCTTTAATAAAAAAAAACTCTATTCCATCCACAGGGTGGGTAGGCCTGTGCCCAGTGGCGGACTAAGCCCGTCAGAGGCCCGGGGCGACAAAGCTGAATGAGCCCCCCCCCCAGCTTCAAAAAAAATGTAGATTATTATGTTTATTTCGTTAAAACCAGTCTTGTCTAATTCACCATAATTTTGTATCAGATTGTCATCTGCAACAGCCAGAGCGTCATCTGAAGCTTCAAGCATAAACTTCGTTTCAATAATTTGGAAAATATTTTTGATTAGTTTAATATCTCAATTCGAAAGTTGTTGTTTTAAACAAAGCGCGCGCGCAAAAATAAAGCGGTCTATACTCATACATTGACCGACGTATTTCTACTTGAATTGATAATCCAGCATCATGAGCTGATTCACCCGGCATCGTTCTTTTTACCTTCACTTTTCCTAGTTTCATGATGTTGATAAACCACCTAAATACTTATTCAAGGCATTTAGTTTTGTGATTCCTGTATCCAGAGTCATTTTTGGAGACCGCAAATATTGTTAGACTTAAATAGAATGTAGTGAATGTAAATTATGTGCACTTCATTCATTCAGGGATTCCTGAGGAAGTACCCGCTACAAAGACGGGAATTCCCCCAGCGTATTGGACGCGTTCAGCAAAGTTAAAAAAATATTAGTACCGCATAAAGTCTAGATTATTGTAGTGTTTTGATCTTGATGAAATTATGTAGGTACTAAGCACATTTTTAAAGTCCTGTTTAGGATTTGATTTTGGGGCCCCCAAGATCGGAGGTCCGGGGCGGGCCGCCCCTTCCACCCCCCTGTTAGTACGCCACTGCCTGTGCCCCAGCAGTGTGGATATTAATAGGCTGATGATGAGAATTTTAATTTCTTCAGTGATAAAAACCCACTATGAAAAACCTGTATTTGAGCAAAGATTTTCTTAAACTATTCATACTTCTCATACGGCCGCACTTTCATTTCATCAAGTTTCCATTGATGCAAGTGGTCCATGCTGTCACTCTCTTTGCGATAGCATTATTATAAAAGAAGATAACACGTCACTTTATCAAGCATTAAAATTAATAAGGATTGCGACTAAATTTTCTTCTTCGTCTATCAGGTAGATTATATTATCAAAAAAGATTGGACACGTATTTTTTCTTTATTCACAGAATCAAACATTGCAGAGATATATTAATTAGAAATATTGCATGACGTCACGTCTTGGAACAATTTATCTTTTCAAACCATTGCCTTTTCCAATTTAAGTGACTGACTAATTAGAATTTCCTTAAAATAACCCCCCCAAAATCCCTATTGATGTTCTCGGATGCGGCTGTTGAATCTTTACTAATTATTTTTACAGGATATCACCAATCTTCAGAGGTGGTCATGGGATAGCACTATCAGTACAACACCAGGGTATTTGACTACGAATGGGTACAAGGAGATGCTCGAACTGGGCACCAGATTCCACCAGAAGTTCCTACCTCTACTGCATGATCTTGGTAGCTATCAGTTCAGACCAACGTTGGAGCAAAGAACGATCAAGAGCGCTGAGGCTTTCATCGAAGGTTTAAATCAAGGGCAATTGAATTTTAAGAAGACAAATGCCACAGACAGAGACGATGTTTTAAGGGTGAGTACCTGAGCAGGTATTTTCAAGCTTGAGAATTTTCTTTAAATACAAGACATAGCTAACTCCTCTTCCTCGCCATAGCTAACTTGCCTCTTCATTTTTAACACTCTAGACACCCACTACCCGTACCTGACATACATCATCTTTCTTTTTCGCAATTCCTACATGTCACACAAACTATGCACAAAACTCAGTTGTTTTTCGATCGCAAAGTACATACAATAAAAAATTCACGGCTGTTGACATATTTACTTGCAAAAGTAAAGCATGTTTTAAAAAACAACTTTTAGGGCTGTTGGTTGATTGGTAATATACAAACAAAAATGAAACACTTACACATGTATACATAAATACACACAAACACACACACGCACACACATATATACAATAGCGCGCGCGCATTGCACACATCTCTCCCTTGTTTGGTAGAGGGTTTTCTAAACTATTATGCTATAACTAAAAAATGAAAATCCGTAATTGGCATTAAGATAAACTATATTGTAAAACCTGTATTATATTAAGAAAATGCTGTGGATTTTGGTCTAGAATTAAATAAATAAAAATAAATAAAATTCCTCTTGTGTTTCAGGCAGTATAATAATAAAACTTATGAAATTAGTAAATAAATGTGTATTCATTTATATTCTCTTGTGTTTGTCCTTATTTTCCAGCCTTACTACTATTGCGCGAGGCATAAAGTCGAAGTCTATAATGGAAACCGTTCAATAGACGAAATTAACGAATATACTAACACACTCGAGTTCCAACATGTGAGTACAACATTCTATGAAAAACTAAATTTTGTAACATTCAATTTAGTCATAAATGAGTACACAATATTTTTCTGTTGTTTCCAGATGTTGCAACGAGTACAAAACAGGTCTGGCTTGCAAGAACCTTTAACAGCGACAAAAGTGATAGGATTCTATGATCTGTGTCGTTACGGCAGAGCCATCTCCTCCACTAAGACTTCACCCTGGTGTGCGCTCTTCGCAGACCAAGATCTGATGATCTTGGAGTATCTTAATGACATCCGACATTATTTCAGGTAGCCAATGTTTCTATTTTGTGAACTGTTAGCTCGAATTTTTATTAATTTATCAGAATCGTCGAGTCCAATTCTATTTTCTGATTCAATATCATATTTTGCATTAGTTTGGAAGTAGATTTGTTCTGATATCCTAAAATCAATAACCATTTATTGAGCGTAGTAGATTTTGCCTGCGACTTCATTTGCGTGGATTTTAGAATGCAATAAAATACTTGAGTTGAAAATTGTGGTCGTCGACCAGATCGTAGTCACTGCAACTAAAAAGATATATTGTGACTTGCCACCGAATTAAATCAGTTAGTCATGTAGTTATTTTATAGGGTCCCACAAGAACCTATCCTTTTTCTAGCATAATCCTTGTCTCAAACCAATGTGATAAACTACTTATGTGCAAAATTTCAGCCATATCCGTTCAGCTGTTAATGCGTGATTAAGTAGCAAAAATCAAAAGATACATTTATTATTTAGGTAATTTCAAATTTTCATAAATAAATATTTATCTTATTCCTTTTTTCAGAAATGGTTACGGTTCTGACATCAACCGAATACTAGGCGGACCAGCCCTCAAGGATCTGTTCATGAGCTTTCTCTCTATCGTTACTAGTGGTTTCAAGAGCTTCACGGGATATTTCATCCACGACACCCTGATTCAGATGGTGTTTACCGCGTTGCAGCTAAACCGAGACTATCCAGAGATATCAGGCTTCGAAAGGAAAGATGAAAGAAAATGGAGGACATCTTTCATGACTCCCTTCGCTGGTAACTTTGCGGCAGTGTTGCTCAAGTAAGATAATTGAACTGCAATATTTATTATTTATAACTTTGATATGCCACATGACACACTTTAACTATTGGTTTATCTATAAAGAAACTGAGCACTTAGAATACGTTTACCATGTAATTTAATGTTTTAAACTTTCATGGTCACTAACATTATAGCTATTAACGGGATTGTTACCATGTACCTTGTTTTTTATGAGTCTCAGTTACTCCGTGATCATGGCGCTTGCAACAGTGCCGAAATATCGGAGACTCATAAAAAACAAGGTACATGGTAACAATCCCGTTAATAGCTATCATGTAATTTAAGTTCTTTTAAAATTTTAAAATCTTTAATTGAAACTATGATAAGTGTGACTGCATGTACTTACTAATTGTTACGGTGTGTTTTATGAGACAAGCTTTGTATCCAACTCTAATTAGCAAAAATAATTCTAATCGGGTGAATTGGCGCTTAGCACCGAGCATATAAATTTAATAAATCCATTACATTTCTGTTCACACACCTCTTTTATAATTTTGTTATGGGTTTGTAATCTCTATAAAATAACTTTTTCTATGTTTTCTAACACCTGTAGTCACTGTCCAGGTTTATTCGAAGCATTTTCTATATGGCATATTAAAAAAATTTCTTTTTTTAATAGCTATTTTGAAATATATTGCATTTATTTTTCAGATGCTCCACTAAAGCAGAATCTGATCGATACCAAGTGCAATTCTTCATCAACGAGAAAGAGTTCCACCTCTGCGACGCCAAGACCTGCAGCTGGAGCCAATTCAATGAAAAATTCGCACATTTTCTCAACACTAGTTTAGATGTTTGCAATATTCATAACTCTTCCATTGCAAGTTCTTAATCTTAGACTTAATGAAAGATCAAAAAGGAAAAATTCTTTATACCTACTTCTTTTGTAGCACATTCCAATGCAAAAACTACAAGGCTGCTTAGATAAGTATTATTTTAAGAAGTATTATTATTAAGTTTATTTAAGTTGTTTCTTATTCCTCGTCTTTAAGAAAGAATGTGTAAGTAAACGCTATTGTCGTCATTAAGACTCCTAATTATTTTTTAATCTGCGTTGCGTCTATAATATGCTTCTTCAAAGGAGGTCAATTCATTTTTCCCAACTAGCTATGCATTATCTTAAGGGCACTTAAGACATGCGGGAAGATTAAGTGATACATAGCTTCACTATCTATATTCCTACTAAAACTACGTTTGGTAAAACAAATCCACAACAGCCCGACGATACATTTTGTTAAGGGAATTAATAAGTTTAACCAGATCCGCAACAGGCTTGCAAGGTAAGTTCCTCTGGTTTGCTTTATATTCCAAACCCAGACCTAGGCCCAGAAGTATGAAGTTTAATAGTCTGATGATGATTCTTACAGTACCTCTAAAAAAAGTTTATGTTATCAATATTACAATATATTTACCTAATTATTTATTTCCTATTATTATTTGCACTGGTATCAACATCACTATAGTAATAAGTAATAAGTAATAGTTCTATACTTTATCTGATAATGTCCATTCACGTTATCAAACAAACATTGAGATATTTCATCTAACAGCTGTTTCATATCTAACTTCGATTAGAGAAGCGAAGGTGTCTAAATTGTGATAAGAATAATCCTAAGAACTCGAGAAAATACACAGAAAAAAACCCACGTACTTACCGACGACACCAGTATAAAATTTTGTCTCAATGATACTTCTAAGGATACTACTGTCAGAAATGTCTCACTTGGTGTACCCTGTCTGCGATTCACCATCAACATCATACTGAATTTGAATCTTGTTAATAGGTAATACAAGAATACAAACACTGAAACAATTTATATTGAAACTTTTTAATTGTAACGGAGATATTAAATATAATTTATTTATCCCAATTCTTATTCTGGTGTTTTCAGGTTAATTATTTAATTATCAAAGGACATAATCATATTATCAAACAAACTCGGACATGTCATTAATATATACGTGAAAGTGTAATTGATATGATTTTCAAATGCAATAATACCTATTCATTAAGAAATAAATGTCAATCTTCTCAATTTCAAATTGTACATGTTTTAATAATGATTAATTCCTCGTTTCTAAGACACCCGATAGTAAGAAGCATACGCTCTCGCAAAGCTTAGTCAACTAGTGTCATTAAACTTATTCTCCTAGATGCAGAAGTCAAGATTAGCGGTTGAGAAGCTTTGAAATTTCTCTCGGAAATCCTTCCACTCGCAACCTTCCAAGGGACAAAGATCGATTGGTTTCTCGTTCAGGAACAGCTGAACTTTGTAAGATTGCTGACCGGAGGTTTCGCATCTGAAAGTGAAAAAGCAGCTTCAATCTAGTTGCTACAAAGGAATCTCTCTGCAGAATATATGTATTCGATTCATTTACGGTCTGCGTAAGTACGACCATATCTCTTATTATCGCTCCGAACTTCAATGGCTACCCATTTCTCGTAGAAGAGACTATCACATCCTATCACTCCTTCATTCTATCCTCTTTCATCCCCACACTCCTCTCTATCTTAAGGAGCGTTTCACTTTTCACTCATTTAATCCTGTTCGTGACCTTTGGTCTTCTCATAACCTATCATTAGTTATCCCACCCCACTCCACTGATTTCGTAGCCAAGTCTATTCTATGTAAGAGCTGTTAAATTGTGAAACTCTTTCCCTTTAGATATTAAACGTGCACGGACGAGGGACTCCTTTGCTATTAAAATTAAGGATTATTTGTTCAAGCTGGACTCTGACTGATCTTTTTATATGTTCATTACTTTGTATTGTGTTTTATAGCTTCCATATACTTTCTATATTTTATTTTCCTATATTTATGTTTATTTATTTATTTTTACAATGCACAGCCCGCTGTTTCTACTATTCTTATGGTATCGTTTCATTTAGCCAAAGGTTGCCTGGTAGAGATTGCTACCTTAGCAATAAGGCCGCCTTTTGTGTTTGCGTTCCTGTTTTATGTTTATTGCTTTTTTTGAAATAGTGCAATAAAGAGTATTAATTCATTCATTCATTCAATCTGAAATTCGAGTCTAGTCGGTCAAGATTGAAGACGTTGCATTAAGGTAACTCTTACGTGGAACACAAGCTCTAGATAAACAACAGCACATCAAATAAATAAATATTAAAATAATTAGGGGGATTGCTAACATTCACCGATATTTCGGGAATGTTGCAAGTGCTGTGGTCATGAAGTAACTGTTTCTATGTTACTTCATGGTCATGGCACTTGCAAAAGAGCCGAAATATCTGGAAATAGCAAAAAAGGTGCATACTAGCAGTCCTATGTTAGTAGCCATAAAAATTAGAAACAATACAAATGAACATTGGTGCACAGTTAATTGTTATAATAAAAACCTTTCACCTGTTGAGTACAGCCATAATGTTCGCAGCAAAAGCTCCGACGACACTAGACCGCCACAACCGTTCAGGGTTTCTAGTGGCTCCAAAGAGTTCATTATCTTTGAACAGACCCATGGCGCAGGCGGTCATCTCGATCATCGTGTCATGACTGAAATATGCGATCAAGTTCTTGCCATTACCCTGAATAGATGCTTCCATGGATTCGTAGAGATCTTTCACCGCTGGACCGCCTAAGCTTACACTGATCTGAAAGTAATTAATGTAGGTACATGTTTAAAACAACTTTTACATATACAATGTTGTGCCTTTTCAGGAATTTTCGCTAATATTTATATTGTAATTTATCTGTGTCCGGCAACCTACATAGATTAGAATTGAGGTGTATGCCGTGTGAAGATATGTTTCGGCAATTTTGTTACCGCCTGGTAAGATTTTAATTGCATCTATTTATTTCTAAAGCAGTTTTTTTGTGGCAAACAAGTTTATGATCTACCTGTTGGTTAATGACCACCATCCTATAGACGCTTGCGATACTAAAAATATCATTCGCGCCGTTGCTTACCCTGACTAAATCTCCTACCCCGTAGAGCCCCAGAACCCTACTCACCGACAGAAACAGAAGACTACCAAAAGTTTGTGTTATTTTGCTGTGGTCTTCTGTAAGGTGGTAAAGTCACTTCCCCAGACGGGCGATCTCAATACAAGTGGAAAATCCGCTATTCCCTACGTCTCTTTATTTAATAGGGTATTTGACAAGTTTCATAAAACGATCTCACGTCATTTAATAATGATTATGGAGTCCATAGAAAGTGGAAATTTTTAATTCTGTTGTGTAATTCAGTAAAAAAAACTAAATTAAAAATTAAATTTTTAAGTTGCCGCGAAAACGGTTTGTTTGGACATTATGGCATCTCACTAGCGTGTGACGTCAGACGACTGTCAATAAAACGTCAAACGATACAGTGTAATGTCGCTTTGGCTGGAAGTTTACTAGTGTGTGACGTCATATTAGTGTTGGCCAATCGCAGGCGTTTTCGGTCACATGACCGTGGAGCACAAAAATCATTTCTGTTTAGTGATTTGATAGAAAAGTAATTAGTTATTTGTTCTTTCAGAATAGTAAAATCGCTGCCATTATACATATTAAATACAGATAACAACAATTGGTACATTATTTTCCATACTGTCAAATAGCCTATTATGAGTGATGAGAACATGATAAAATTAAATCTGATTTCTTATATTTTGATTTACACACACAGTATTGAAATTAAGAATTAATAAAATACAGTAAATAGCGTTTCAAACCCATTAAAACAGATTTATTAACTTAAACTAGAAATATAAAGAAAAATTTACCTACCCATGAACCATATCCATTTCTGTAATAATGCCTAACGTCGTCTTTGTACTCCAGTACTACCAAGTCCTCCTTTGTGAAAACAGAGCACCAGGGGCTCCTCAGTTGAGGATCCCAGGAGCGATAGTAACGACAGAGGTCATAAAAAGTATAAATATCATCAGCAGACAGTTGGGTAGGTATTCCCAAGCGGTTTTGCACATTATTTTGAACCTGAAACGGAGTTGTATTCATAATCTTCCATAGCATAGGTACATTTGGAAATCTAAGAATAATCACAAAGACGCAAAGAGTAGATTTAGAATGAAGCTAAAAGACCCTAAATTTTATTGTAGATTATATTTGATTTCAAAAACAATTCAAAATAATGTACAAGCTTAAACTCACAGCAACATACTCGGGGCTCTTATAGTACGCGTCCAACTGATCTGATGATTCTTGGGAATATTTTACCTCCTTCTGGTATCTATCGCAGTTTTCATAGGGCTGAAAATATTAGTAGTATTTAGTAATTAGTTACATTAAGGATCCAAAACGTATTAAGATGCAGCTACCTAAAGCGCTTCTACTTGCACGTCATAAAATAACAACATATCGGACTGTATAAAAGTGGAAAATAATTTGCTTAAATCAGTAACTGTTGGAATAAATAATCGGATACTATGAATTACTACATATTATTTAGTAAAGAAATTATTTATTTCTATAACGCTTTCAATTTATTTTGATGGTATTACATATTCTTTATACGACAAACGTCCTGTGTATATTATTTTATGCATAGCTAAGTAAACCTTCACGGTGGTATAAACCCATGCTTCACGTCCCCCGGTTGGCAAACCACTTACCCTAATCACGTCATCTCTTGGCCAAGGTCCGTCAACTACTAAACTTAAGTTGGAATTTTCCGTTAAACCATGTACAAATGCCATCGAGCTGGTAACTGTCCTTTGCTCATTAGTTGTCCTGAAGTAGAAGTCATCTTGCGACCCTTTCAAGAGATGAGGGTATCTCTCCTTGATTCTTCTGCCGATGTTGTACAACTCTTCGTAGCCTGTTCCTGTTAGATATGACTGTGACACTTCCATAGTTTCGTTCCATTTCCATCTCTTGAAATCATCGACGTCCTGGAAAGTTTCATGATGATGTTTGATGATGTAGTTCAAATAGAGTTCTTAGCATTAGATGATCTACCGAATAAAAATCAGTACCTAATTCTAGCACTAGCCAAGTTAATACGAGTAGTTCTAACATCCTTACTTACTGCAAAAATACAACATAACAGAATAATGTTTGTAATGTTACTGTGTTTCTATGGTGGAGTTTTGTACGATGGAGCTTGACAGGTGTTTTACGCGTTCGTTCTGCGATCGTAGAAGTTAAGGAACTCTCACAATCCTCGGTCATTGGATGGCTGACAAAAACTTATTATCTCGAACTCCTTCGTGTTTCAGAAGGCACGTTAAACCGTTGTCCCGGCTGCATCTGCAGTCGTGAGCACCCAACAATTCGCATTAGTATCCAATCTCCCTATTCCATTCACCGGGAAGGCATGTGCCCTAATAGTGGGGACATTAATAGGATGTGATGATGGTGGAGGATACTATCTAGACGGTAGCAAATCTTAATAATAATAAGATACTTTACTGTAGTACACCACACAGGATACAAAAGAAACAAAACATGACAGGCAGATCGTACACAAAATAGGCGGCCTTATTGCTAGGCAAAAATCTCTCCAAGGCAACTCATAATAGAGAAATAAGAAAGACATAGAGGAGGGGTGTGACAGTAATAGTAAATAATAATAAGGGAAACATATATCAGGGAATGAAACATAAGAGTGAAAGGAAAGGTTAACTTTAAGTTTGGGACAGGAAATAAGTCCGAACATGATCTGTAAATGAGTTCAGAGTGCGAGTCCTTCGAATGTTTTCCGTTAATAAGTTCCATAGACGTACAGAATGCACAAAGAAGGAATAGGGAAAAAAACGGTTTTATGATGTGGCATTTAAAGGGTAAGGTTAGAAGAAGAACGCAGAGTGCATTGTGAAGTAGATGAAAGAAACGAGAAGCATTCTTTTGAATAATATAGAGAAGTGGGTAAGTAAAGTATGGAATATAGAAGCGTAAGGGTGTGTAAGTCAATGCACCGGCGAATAGGGAGCCAATTAAGTTTAGAACGGAAGCGTAAGACGTACTTAAGGTCGTTAAAAATAAACCTAATACATAAATTCTGTAGACGTTTCACTTTTTTGGAAAGGTCGGTGTAACAGGCATCAGCATAGTCAAGGATAGGGAGTATAAGAGTCTGCGCCAGAGTGATTTTGGTACTGGTGGGAAAAAAGTTACGTTAGCGATTAAGCGAGCTGTATGCAGCAAATGAAACTTTATGACGGCCATCCCAAGGTTTTTCATATATCTGTATTTTCAATTAGCAAGAAATAAGGCAAAAGATGAATTAAAAAACACTCACCTGGGCACAGAGCTTGCTTTTGCCAGCATTGAAGCTGTCTACAATCTCGTCTTTGAGTCCAGCGATGACCTTCATAGCATCAGTATCGTCGTCACCAGGGTTGCGGTTGCCATGCCGATTCAGCAACCAAACAGTTACAGCACTGCAGTCTGAAATGCAATCCTACAATAGTCACCATAAAAAAATACATTTTCACCATTCCTGGTGGCGTTCCAAATCATGTGACAGTGTTATAGTGTTATATTATATTTCTATAAAAAATATAATTATCTATCACCCAAGAATAACTAGCCTAGCGTCCCTAATATAATTATAACAATAGCAATGATGATTAACTTCTTTTCCTTCTTCTATCAGGTAGATTAACAAAAAGTATTGGACACGTATTTTATTCTTTATTCACATAATCAAAACATTACAGAGATATATTCATTTGAAACATCGCATGACATCACGTCTTGCTACAATTTTTATAGAGCCATCACAAGCCCCCACTCTCAAATTTCAAGTGCTTTATCTTTATATTTTTTGTTTGATTGACAAAAGAAAAAATACGTATCTATTTTATATTTTTTGATAATCTAACTGGCGATGGCGGACTAAATAAAATATCCATTTACTTTACCCCGTCATCTCCCCTATTTGCAAAGTTATGAAGTGAAATTAAAAGATTATATACCTGATACATGGCATTAAATAAAACTGTTTGTCGTAGAACCAATTCCGCGGGGTTAAATATCGCAACAACAGTTAGAGCATCACAATCAACATAACGAAAATTTAGAAAAAATCCTAAATAGCACCTGTCTTAAAACGAAAACATAAGTTAATAGACATCTTTATGTTGGACTTACAAATTCCTAGTATTCAAATTCAAATAAAACAATTTGAAACTTACTCTCAGGTACGGGATAGTCCCTTATGTCCCCTCTCACTGTGTCATAAGGTGTTTTGGACGAGAACAACTGGTAGGAACTGCCATCATTCCAATAACAATTGTTGCACAAAACTAGATTAGCCGAGAGCACAATAGCCACCGCACGAGAGATCATTGTTACGCGCTGACTGAGAAAACTAGAGATGACATGTCGATGTCGTCTAATATTATAACATCACAACAGTAACGCTATCTACATACGCTTAGTAAGGCCGTGTTTATAATACCACCAACTAAGGTAAAATTGTTGTGTTAAGATTGAAACATTCAAATTCAAATCATTTTTATTGAGCATACAGGTTATTGTGTTGTGTACAAACATACAAATTATATTAGGTTCAACCATATTCTGTCTTGTTAACATGCAATGTTATTTCATTTACTCGTAGTTAACTATTAAATATATTATTCTAACTACTATTAATCTTACGTACTTATATTAATCTAAATTAAAATTATAATTTGGTAAATGAGATGTCTAAGTCACATTTTGAAAAAAAAAATAACCTTAATAGCAAATTAGAATACATGCCAAAATGAAGATAATGTCAAATTAAATTATAGGTCAAATTACAAGATAAGTCATTTAAATAAAATAACAAAACAGGAATACAAATGGACTACAATATTAATTTAAAATTTATCCGTCATATATTTTTCAACTGTATAGTAAGCTTTTCCCACAAGTAATTTCTTAACTCTCAGTTTAAATATTTGGATATTGGATATTTATTTTAAGCATTCTGGTAATTTATTGTACAGTCGCGGTGCCATACCAAATATACTTTTATTGTAAAATTATCTCAATCTCTATTGCTTCCAGTCCTTGACTATGCTGACGCCTGCTATCTAGATCTTACCGAGGACAAGCTAAATAAACTTGAGCGTCTTCAAAACTTCTGCATCAGGTTCATATTTGGTTTAAGAAAATATGATCATGTTTCCCAGTTTCGTTCTCAACTCAAGTGGCTTCCAATTCGTCGTCGCCGGGATACTCATATACTTTCCCTTCTTTACAATGTGTTGTTTAATCCCTCTTATCCCAATTATCTTAAAGAGCTTTTCAGTTTTCTCCACTGTTCCCACTCTCAGTCTCTACGCTCAATCGAATCGAAATTGAGCCTTAAAACTCCATCACATAATACCACCTTTTATAAATATTCTTTTTGTGTTCAAGCTGTGCGCCTCTGGAACTCTCTCCCCGTTAACATCAGACGTGCCCAGACGATTGGTTTATTTAAAAAGCAGATCAAAGATTTTTTCTTTTTCAAAGTAGTTGTTTGTGTTGTTCCAACTGTATGTGTGTATGTATGTTTATGTCTCTCTACTCATTCATTTAATATTTGTATACTTGCATAGTAGATATTTATGAGTATGTTTAATCCTGAATCTTTTTTTTTTGTAATTATTTTTATTTGTTATGTTAGCACACCCCCTCTTTTATTAAATTTCATCTCTCCATCCTATGGTTGTCTGGCAGAAATTGCTATATAGCGATAAGACCGCCAATTGTTCACTATTTAAGTTTTGTCCTAGTGTGTAATATTTAATATGGTGTGCACAATAAAGTGTTATCTATCTATCTATCTATCTAAAGGGCAGTCCTACTGGCGGGAAAGCAAATATCGTTTTTATGTCTTATACTTCTAATATGTTGAAACATGTTCATGTTTGCTTTCACAAAGACTCATCATCATCATCATCATCAGCCTATTAATGTCCCCACTGCTGGGGCACAGACCTTCCTCATGGATGGATTAGGAAGATTGGGCCATGACCCACCACGCGGGCCCAGTGCGGGTTGGTGGGTGCTAACAACTGCAGATGCAGCCGGGACCAACGGCTTAACGTGCCTTCCGAAGCACGGAAGATCTCGAGATAGTAAATTTTTGGTCACCCATCCAATGACCGACCACTGCGAAAGTTGCTCAACTTCAACGACCGCAGCCGAACGCGCTAACCACTGGCGCCATCGAGCTCTCACAAAGACTACCACCTCATAAAAATATTCAGAGATGGTACTGTCATTATGTTGTTTTAGCGATATAGCGATCAGAAATAAAAATCTGTTCCATGTTTCAATCATGGTTCCGCCCGACTGCCAAACCTATTGGGACACGCCCGATTTTGTGTATGCATATTATTTTTTACTTTTTAGTTCCTTTTTCGATTTTGAAGTCGGTTTTAATTTTTTGAAGTTAAACTTCTTTACGCACTCTGGACTTGGGGGGTAAGCTGGCGAATGCGTTACGCGTTACGAAAAGTGTGTTCGGGCGAGGCGAACGGGAGTTGAGTGGGGGATATAAACAAGAGAAAGCAGTGCACGCGCACATTTTACTTTCTCTCTTTCTCTTATAGCTAGTAAATGAAATATATATATGTACACATGTAAATATACATACAGATGGAGCTAAAGAAGTTTCACTTCAGTTGTGTGGTCATAAGCATACTCGTTTTATTGTTGCATGAAATATTCAAACAAATCTGTACCGTTTTCGTTACCCTACACGCCCTTTTATGTATTTTATAAGTACCATAACCAAACACCTTAGTTTTCTGCCAGTCTTCTTTTTCTGGATTAGATTCCTTAATTCTGTCCAAAACTTTGTCTTCATCATCATCATCAACCCATGCTCGTCCACTGCTGGACATAGGTCTCCCCTAATGCACGCCACTGCTCCCGATTTTTTTCTACTCTCATCCAGCTCACTCCAGCCAGCCTACGAATGTCATCATCCCATCTTGTCTCAGGGCGTCCTACCCCTACGTTTAACGAGTCGCGGTCTCCACTCAAGAACTTTACGGCTCCAACGTCCGTCAGTTCTGCGGCTAATGTATCCAGTCCACTGCCACTTCAGTTTGCTAATTCGGTGGGCTATGTCGGTGACTCTGGTCCTCTGTCGGATTACATCATTTCTGATGCGGTCCTTCAGGGATATTTCGACAAGGCTATCCTTTCCATAGCTCTCTGAGCGACTTTAAACTTTGTCTTATTCGTCTGTAAACGAATAACAATGATTTCGTCATAGATATTTATCTTGTACTTCCAAGCGTAGTCAATCCTCCATTATTCAAATTATATGGCGTAACAAAATAAATACGTACATACATGAATTTAAGCAGTTCTACCATTATTTGCTTATTAAGATCAAGTAAACACTGGAATAGAATCTAAATGGCAAATTTAAAACGGCTCTCTTTTCTGCAGAAGGACATCTTCTATGAATAAAAACCAAATCGCCGAAATGTATGCACGCGCATAGCTTCCGAATGACTGCACCAAATTGGATATTTATTATATAAGTGTTCGATATTGTTTGCATAGAAGAAAAATTTAAAAATCTTACGGTAAAGGAATGTGGCGTTACGAAGTTTGCTTCATGTACTTAGATTAAAACATTTAATCTAAGCTCGTCTATATTTTTGTTTAAGGTAGGTTATATTTCTTTGTAAGACAATGCGCGGTTGCATAAAACAGGTGTTTGGTATCTCGCAACTTGAAAATTATTATTATTTCCACTAGCGGCCGCCCGACACTTCGCACGCGTGGAGTTAGTTATTTGCACATACTTTTTGACCCCAAAATGGGGTTTATTTCTTAAGATACATTATTAGTACACCTCTACACCATCTATAGAGCATACAATATGTTAAATTTCAAGTCTCTTACTTAAAAAACATGGACTGTTTTTGAAATCTCATAGATTTATTTATATGCAAAAAGTGTTTACACATGTAATTCGACTTGATGTTTTTGAAATCTCGTAGATGGCGCTGCTTCAAAAATAATCCTTGATGTTTATCGGCTTAAGTTACATATAGTGTGAAGCTAGTTTATAACATGGTTAACATAATAACAACCATAGATGAATGATTGGTCTCGCTTCACTCGACCAGATACCGCCGGCGCACAGTGTATTATGAAACCCATTTTTCGGACGTCTGCTTTTTATTAAAAAATCCTGAAGTTTCAATCATTTAAAATGCTAGAGTAGCACTCCAGAGTGGTAAAAACGCTTAGTTTTGAAAAAAAAATCTTTAAAAATTTGGTTTTATTTCCCGGTTATTTTTTTAGAAAAATTCCTTCTCTTAAAGCAAATATATTTTGAATATATGACAAATGTTATTAGAAAGCATTTTACAAGCTTCATCTTTAAGAGCTATTAGTGCCCTTGTGGCTACCTTAGAACAGGTATAATAACTTTTTTTCAGTTTTTCGTTTTTATTTTATTATTCAGATAATACACCGTATTTGGAAAAGTTATCCAAATAAAAATGAAGGTCCCAAATCCTTCTACCTACCACAAACAAATCACGTCCAAATTGCGTGGAGTCTATATGATACAGCCTGTTTTGTAAATAGCCAGGTTTTTTTTCATTAGGGTTGACACTATTCACAAATTCAAAAATATCCGGAATATTAGGGTATAATCATAGGGTATGTAATATAATTTAAATGCTAGCTGTTACCCGCGGCTTCGCCCGTGTAATTTGTTTTTAATCCCACGGACGTCGGACCACGCGCAATGTAGGGTTTGTAGTTTCCCATCAATTTTCAATGGAATTTGTACATTTTTTCTTCTCCAAGTACCTTTTATAAGTTGTGTTTGAAATAAATTTAGGTACTTAATAGAATTTTCATTTCACATATTGCATAATTTATTAAAACTAAATGATATTATGTATTTTCAACATTATATAGTTTCTTGTTATATTACACACCACACGTGGGACTTAAACCACCCACCCACCTTAGATAAAATTCCGGATATTGAAAATTCAAAAAAGTAACAACCCTGATCGAAATATTTAATTGAACACAGCTTCTAAACTCCACGCAATTTGGATGTGATTTTTTAGTGGTGGGTAGAAGGATTTAGGACCTTCATTTTCATCTGGATAACTTTTCCAAATACGGTGGATTATCTGAAAAATAAAATAAAAACGAAAAACTGAAAAATAATAATTTCTCCTTTTCTATGGCAGTTACGAGGTCGCTAATAGCTCTTAAAGATGAAGCTTGTAAAGTGCTTTCATATCACTTATGACATATATTTAAAATATGTTTGCTTTAGGGAGAAGGAATTTTTCTAAAAAAATATCCGCAAAAAAAAT